TGTGAGGTTATGCTCAGGGCATGTCTGTGACGCCGTGGTCGGAGCTGACAGCACAATGCTCATCACGTGGAGGGAAGGCGTGGGAGATCCATGCTGAGAGCTTCCACTCTCATTGGTCCAGCGACTCCAAGAACGCGAACAAAGACCCCATTTCCGGAACTGCGAGCGGGTGGGGCGGCCCAATTAAAGGGTCTCGCGTTCTTCTCCCGCCGGACTGCAACAGCACTGCGTGGTGGCATGTGGGGGAGCAACCAACCATACTCACGGGGCACGCAGTGACGACAGGCAGTGAAGAGGGCTGAAAGTAGCCCACATCACCTCAGTGATGTGCATATGTGTGGGTCGGGGGGCATATTTCGCCTCCTTTATTCACATCACTGCCTCCCCTTGCTGTTCTCACACTCATTTATTTGCAGCTCACAGACATTCACCTGCTTTTCTCACACTGCTTTCTCAAAATGGGTGATCAAAGGCTCCTCCTCCCAAAAAAAAAACAAAAAACGACGTATCAGCGGACGTAGCTGAGAGGGATGATAGGAAAGAAAAAGTGGGAAAACATCAGGCTGCCATGGAGGTGTTCTGCTGACACGTCGCACACGGAGTATTCTTAATTACCACCTGTGTAACAAGGGTGTAAAGACAGTATACCGGGTGGCTGGGGGGGGGGCACTCCCAGGGCTGGGGAGGAGATGCACACAAGCTCTGGGGAGGGGCTGAGCGTATCTCTGTCAGGGTGTAGTGGAAGAACTGACATCGGTGCAGGAAGTGTGGATCGGCTGGGACTGGAGCACTGGATGGGTCGCGACCCCAAATCCCTTCGGACCTCTTTAGTATAGAGAAATTAATCATAACTAAAAGTGGAAATCATGGTGGGGGGGGGAGTGGAGTGAGTGGACACTTCAGAACGGATAGATCCTGCAAAACAAATGTTAACCGGTCCCGGTGCTCTGCCCAGGGTCCGGATCCTCGCGGACTTTTACGGTGCTGTAAGCAGCGGCAGGAATAATAAAAAAGAAACAAACACTTTTAATAGAGAGCATTTTAAGCATGGCAATGGGATTAAAAGGAACACCATCTCGCCACCTTGCAAGGGTGGCTTGGCGGCAGAAGAGAGGGGCGCCCGAATGCGCGGCGGCCGGCGGCGCAACACGAACTGCGTCTCAGTGCAGGCCTCAGCCTCCTTTTCAGCCGTAATTACAGTGTGTGTAACAATTAGCTTGATTTGATAACCAATCTTCACTCATCGTGTCTGTTGCAGATGAATGCAAAGCAGTGGGTGGGGGCTGGGGATGGGATCGGGGGGGGGACTGCGGCGCCTGTTCATATTCAGACTGCAGCAGTGGAGGTGTGGACCCCTTAAAAACTCTCTGGGGGGGCGATGCGGGTCGAACCAAAACGGACGAGAGGAGGAGACGCACCAGCCCAGTTCTGATGAGACAGACTGGAACCTGGTGCTGAAGACAGACAGCTGTCAGGGGCGTCTCGGGGAGAGCCTGTTTTGTTTTTAACATATTTTTTATATTTGGAAGAAAAGGCGGGAAAACATGTTTACTGTGGAGCCAATCCCGGCAAAAAGCAGGTGTAAGGCAGGTAACAACCCGGGGGGGGGGGCAACACCCCATCGCATGGTACTCACACCATTCACATCTGTGGGTGGTAATCAGAGGAAACCCCATGATGACATGGGAAGAACATGGGAGGGGCCAGGGAGGGGCCAGGGAGGGGCCTCAAACTCTGCTCCTTAGAGGACTGCCACTTCTCCGGCCAAAGCAACAAGGCAATCAGTCTGTCTGACTGTCTGTCTGTCTGTCTATCTATCTATCAGTGTGTCTGTCTCTCAGTCTATCTATCTATCTATCTATCAGTCTGTCTCTCAGTCTGTCTATCATCTATCTATCTATCTATCTATCTATCTCTCTCTCTCTCTCTATCTATCAGTCTGTCTCTCAGTCTATCTATCTATCTATCTATCTATCTATCAGTCTGTCTATCATCTATCTATCTATCTATCTATCTATCTATCTATCTATCAGTCTGTCTGTCTATCATCTATCTATCTATCTATCTATCTATCTATCTATCTATCTATCTATCTATCTATCTGTCTGTCTGTCTCTCTGTCTGTCTGTCTGTCTATCTATCAAGCTCTGCAGGTTCTTTTTAAGATCCCATTATCTCACTATCAACACTGCAGGAATATTCCGGAATAAAGAACCACAGACACAGCATCAGCTCCGATCGCTATGCGGCAGCAGTCTGGCTAACGATGCTGAGCTGCGTGCAGCAGCATGAAGAGATACAACGTCTGACTCGGGGGGGGGGGGGGGGCATTGTGCCGGATCGCGGGCCCGCCGCGTTCTGTACGCCCGGCCCGGCGGCACTGTACTTGCAGGTTTTTGATTATCGCGGCTTGGGTCGGCACACGCTGTTTCACGATACGGGTACGGGGACGCCATTTGGTCCCAGCGTGCATGATCATTTCAGTCACAGTGGCACAGTGACGCTCTCTGTCTGTCTTTGGGCCCAATGAGTGACTTTGTTAAATCAGTCACTGTTGCCCAACCATACTGGGCATCACCAACGCAGGGTGGCAACATTGTGTCCCTGAATGCAGTTCTGCAGACCGCTTAGTGTAGCGCTAATGTAGAGCATGGCTGCCCTGGATCACCCCATGCCTGCTGGCTCATCCCGCCCTGTCCTTGCCTTTGGATCTGACCACAGTGTTCGGTGGGGGTTACTAGAAGAGTTTATTTGGCTGGGTGTGTTGAAGCTTGAGGGGTGGGAGGGGTGAGGGTCTGATGTCATTCTGGCAGGGGCAATTCTAGGACTTTTTTTAAGGTGGGGGGCAAAAGAGGGACCACAATTCATATCGAGGGACCTATCTTATCATTGACCAATGATATGCCTTGAATGGGTGAGTGACAGGGGAGAGGGCACACCAGGAGCCAATCAGCTTTCAGCCCCTGTGGTCCCTCCCATATATGTGCCCCAGCCCCCGGTTAAATTTGACCCAGACCATTACTCACTGCCAACCCCGTGGACACTAGAGGAAACAGGTGAAGAGCAGAACCCAAGTAATTACAGGCCCTAATGATGCTTCCTGCTGTTTACAACCCTGCTTTACGTTTACTTCATTTAGCAGACACTTCTGTCTCCCAGTCCGCTCCTTGGGGACCCACAGTTGGTCCATGTTTTTACTCCCTCTGAGCTCCCTGTGTCCTCGAGAACCAGACTGGGAACTTTAGAGAAAGACTAGAGCAAGAATCAGAGAAACTGAGGGTAAGAAGGATGCACAGTTTGCTGGGAAGTCCTTTTCCCACCCGTTTTCTGTGCGACGTGGCCTGACGGGGTCTCTCCCACATCACCCAGCTAGCGCCCACAATGATTCATAAATCGACTTATTTGTTTGCAATTTATTTTGACACGCGCGCACGTACAAAGCAGGGCAAAAAAAAACAACATAACATAAAATGTTAGAGGGGCTCAATTATTTTTGCCAGTATGAAATCCCTCTCGGCCCCCCCAAGTCAAGAAACAAGCCCGTCGCCTGCAAACAGCATCCCTCAGCACCGGCAGAAGGGCGCCGGCTTAATTGCGGAGAGCAACGCCACACACGACTTTTCCGGGCCCGTGAGTGTGGCGGGGGCTGGCTTGTTAAAGCTGGGGGGGATATGAGACAAGGGAGAAAGAGATCAATCTCGTTAGATGGGAGTATAAAATTAAGGGCAAAGGAATAAGGCACACTGTTCGGGAAAAAAATAAATAAATAAAATTAAATAACCCTGGCTGGTTTCAGCTGACTGCACAGAGTAATGAGAACCTGGTCCTCCATGAACAGGCACTGGGAAGCCGGGCGTGCTGCGTCAACAGGTAGCGGGCGGAGCCGAGGGCGGCGTAGCCTGGCCCGAACAAAAGATGACCCTTGGGGGGGGGGGCAGCCTGGGTCCGCTAAACTCGGTCACAGTTATGTTGTGCTGATGCTGGTTATTTCCACTGAAGCGGAAAGGAGCATCTATTGGACATAAAAGACTGCCGGGTCTGGGCTGAATACGACAACACAGGGACAGACCTGGGGTGGGGGGCACCAGCTGACACCCGGTCCTGTTTTCCCGTTTCCCGGGTGACCCAAATGGATCCTGACAGCCTCCCAGCTGCGACTCACGCAGCTCCGAGCACAGTAGAACATGGCTGTCCCCCCCCATCCCGTCGCCCGTAGGCCAGCATGTCTGTCACCTCTGCCTTTCCCAGGGACGGACCCCAGCGTGATGTGGAGGGCAGGCCGATCCGGAACTCCTGACAAAATCCATCCCACTAGTGGTTAAAGAGCTGGGAAAAGCCATTTTATAAATCAAAAGGCATTTATAATGAAGATAAGAAAACACCCAGCAAATAGATTTTTAGATTTTTTTTTTATGAAGGGAAAAGCCCATATTTTAAGCTGCATATCCAGTCAATGGAGGTCAGAAATGATTACAAATGTAAAGCCACGTCTCATCTGTTAATTGACGGAGCTGCTTTTATAAAGTGCCATGGCCCACCGCTGCCTCCCCCAGCGAGGTTACGGGCCGACAGAGTCCATGGCGCTTTCGCGGTGAGCTGCAGGGTCCGGGCGGCCATCGCGCTCTTCCGGGGGGACCTGGATACTCCACAGCATGCCTGGCTGAGCGCTCCTGAGATCCCTCCATTCCGAGACGAAGAGGCATGCTGCCGATGACATACTGTACCATCTCTGCTTCCTCGCTGGTCACATCGACCCCTTATTCCCTCCCACTCCTCCTGCCTGGTTCCCTCTGTGCCATCTGTGCACGTCTCCACCCTGACCTCCATCTCCAGGTCGTGGCTCAGAATCCACCCCACTGTCTGTTAAAATGTCGTGTTCGTCAATATTGTGAAACCAAATATCAAGCAGTCTTTTACCACGGCAGGAACACTGGTTTACCTGAATACAG